TATATATATATATATATATATGTGTATGTATGTATATATATATGTGTATGTATGTATGTATATATGTGTATGTATGTATGTGTATGTATATATATGACGGTGGAGTAAGTAGCGGGGCGGGAACGCTTTCCCTTTAGTCTCTTTTCTGTCAGACGCAAAACTTCCTCGATTGTGCTCTTGCTGTGTGCCCCGTGACGTTTAAATGTTACTGACTGACATAGCTGGACGTGCAACCCAACAGAAGCGACGACACTCCGTGAAAATACATTGTTCATGCATGGTAAAACAAAATACGTAACAAATTAGCCCGCTACTGCATACGCGTTGGAAGATGAATGGCTGGAAATCACTTAGGAGAGGACAGCGAACTCACTAAAACCGGCGAACGGTGCTCATATGTTACATATTATTGTTACACATTAGGCTTTATGTCATTGGTCCGCATCAACAAAATGTGCTTTGGGAAAATACTCTATCTGTGTTATGAACAAATAAGAGTTTGACTCCTGCAAACATGTATAGTACATTCAAGATGTATAATCATTTTTATATGGGTGTAACATTGTTAGTTTTGTGTCCATGCAGAATAGGATACCAGATTCCCTTGTTTGCTGGGTTTTGCATCATGTTCATTTCCACCATTAGTAAGTACAGTGTTAATATTCATTCAATATTCAGTCATTACTTCACAATGAATTGCTTATTATTTGTATTTGACTGGGCTATTTCCATGCTCTTTATGAACCATCGCTGTGAAGTGTTTGCTTTCTCGAAAAGCTACACTCTGCTGTTTTTCGCTCGATCTCTGCAAGGTGTCGGATCATCCTGCTCCTCTGTTGCTGGTAAGGCCGTTATCGCAATTTTGAAACAGTACTGTGTTTTAAAAATACAAATGTGGCCATTTAACCCTGTGATTCATAGGATTGGGAATAAGTAATGACGTAGAAAACACATCATGCCTGAAAGGGACTTTTTGCATCGTGTTAGAAAACAGTGAGCTGTTTATGTCATGGTTTGGATAAAGTCAGGACCAGAATAATACCATAGTGATCTTGAGAAGGTATGAAATGTTGCTTGACAATAGGTCCCTGCCACATTAACGTTCAAATTATATATGAAAATGAATAAAACACATTCCTGCAAGTGTAAACTGTGACAGGCAGAGCTTCATGATTGATGATAAGATTGAGGTAGCAGAAGTTCTCAGTTTTCTTACATGGTAAATGGGAAAACATCCCAGACAGCTGTTTTATTCTTGCAAATGGCACAATTATTCAGTATTTATTACAGGAAAGTATTTAAAAAAGATAAAAAAAAAAAACCTTATTCTATGAAGCCTGCAAGGATTTATGAATTACAGTCCAAAGGTGTGAAACTTGAAATAATGTTTTTGGGTTTAACCCTATTCTAGGCAAGATTAATAATACACTCTGTTTCCTTGGTCATAAACAATAAAAAACTAAAATAGATAGTTATTTTTTTCCAGGGATGGGGATGCTGGCCAGTGTGTACACTGATGATGAGGAGAGAGGAAACGCCATTGGAATAGCTCTGGGTGGACTTGCAATGGGCGTGCTGGGTCTGTACACTTATAGAAACATAACCTAGAAGCCCTAAATTCTGATAACACAATTTCAGTACTGCTTTCTCAAGATCTTTTGCATATGATATTCAACATCTTTAGTCAGTTTTCAGTCATTTTCAAAATGGCACTGAAGCAGGTCTCTAGACCATTTACTGCTCTACTTCTGTACTTATGCAGGGGTTTCTCCAACCCTTTTTGTAACTGATTTGAGACGGAGCTTAAAGTAAGCTTTACCAACCTGGACAAAATACTGCCCGGCCAAAAAAAAAAAAGATGCCATTTGAATTTTTTGTTGGACACCTTTAGCTTTGATTATGGCGCACATTTGTCATGCCATTGTTTCCATAAGCGTATGCAACATCTCACCCTTTATTTTCATCTAGATTTGCATTAATTTCTCACTGAGATCCTGTATTGACAAGTGAGTCAACCACTTCATAAAGCCTCCTTCAGCACATCCTAAAGACCTTCAATGAGTTTAAGGTCAAAATTCTGTGGTGACCAAGTCATGCGTGAAAATGATTCCTCATGCTCCCTGAACCACTCTTTGACAATTCGAACCCAGTGAATCTTGGCATTCTTGTCCTAGAATATGCCCATGCCAATAGGGAAGAAAAAAAATCCATTGATGATGGATGAGTTGTAACCTGGCCATTCAGTAGATTCAGCTGTCTTTATTTTATTGCTGCATAATGTTGCTGAGCTGTAATAATGATCCAGTCATTGATTCTTAAGTATTTGCTGATAGAAATTCAAATGAGGACTTTTTTTTTTGGCCGGACAGTGTAGCTGTAAGCTAATGTTTATTTATCAGAAACTTTGCCTTTGTGGCTTGATTGGGTTAATCATCATGTTCTGAAGAACCAGGGAGTTGAGGCTGCCAGGAAGGGAAATACAGGTTCTGGAAGATCAGTATTTTTGCTTCCTATTTAATATACAGTGCTGGTATTTCCTCAGTTGGACCTCCTTTTGGAAGTGTAATGTATGAATTTGTTGGGAAGACGGCTCCCTTCCTCATCTTGGCATTGCTCGCTGTCCTGGATGGAGGTGAGTTTACTAATCTTATCTTTGTTTTGAGGCAATGAACACTTCATTGAGGCGTCTCAACTACAATGACTTTTTCTTCACCCTACTGACCCCACAGCCCTTCAACTTTTTGTCTTTCAGCCCTCGAAAGTGCAACCAGAGGTGAGTGGCACTGTGACTAACACTGGTGACAGTTTACAATTTTGTTCAAATGTAGAAGCCTGTATTAACATGAAAGCTAGACCTGACCATTATACAGCCAGTTCAACAGCCATCTTATATGTATGCCAGACCTGATAAAGAACTACTGCAAGATCAAATCATTGTCCTTGTGAAATTAATTTGTTGTTGTTTTGGCTTCGTTAATTTGAATTAGCTGAACATTTTGCCCTGCATCAGTACCACACCTCATATCAATGTCAACCTTGCATTTCTTTTTCTTTTTTTGTGTCATAGAAATTTCAAATTTGTTGTATTTGCTGAATATGAAATGTGTTTAGACCTCTTTCCCCCCTAAGCATAGCAAAAGTTTTGGCAACCTGTCATTTTCAAATAACTTTCAGCTTCAATGCACAGAGGACTGAGTTCATTTTTATCTGTGACTGGATGGTATTATCACATTTTAAGGTGAAGTTCTTCTAGCCAGCAAAATGAAACAACATCAGCTTAGCAATAATCACTAGATATAATGTTTTAATTATTGTTGGTCATTGATGCAGTTTATTAACACCAGTCATGCATTGTTTATAATACCCTGATAATCTGGTCTTAATCATTGCAATAAGCGAGCAAAATACGAGTGGCCTGTAGCCATGATTGGATTTTCAATAGAATGATATTTATTTTACAGCATCCCAACTTCCATGAAGAGAGGGATATTATGTGGTAGCACCTTTTAGCAAAATAATTAATCCACTGTTATGTCATGAAAAGGTGCCATTTTGTATTAAAAATAGCATTGTAATTGTAACTAAACTCTGAATGTTAACCCTCTAAAAAAATACAATATTGTGAACGTAGTAGTATTATAGTAGTAGTTTATAAATATATTATAAATATATCTTCTGTCGAGGAGTCGACTAGGCATTAGTGTGGCTAAACTGTGTCATGATCAGTCTCTACCCAGACCACGTTTTGTTATGTCTGTGAATTCCCTGTTTGGCCAGCTGTGTTCCCCTTGTTTCCTGTAGTTAACACCCTAATGTGTTTCCCTGCTTCCTGGACTGAGCATTGCTTAATGGGCTAAGCAGGCAGCTGTGTCATGTAGGCTTCCCATTTTTTTTAGCAATAAACAAAGCAATAAACAGCCTCAACCATGTTTGTAATTTTAAACATTTTATTTTCTTGATTTATGTACTTGGGTTGTTGTTTATTGTTTTTAGTAATGATTAGTTACCCTTGTTTTTCTAGTCTCTCTTGCTGTTCTTTATCTGTTCTTGCTGATCCTTTACCTGCCGCTTGCCCTCACCTTTGCTTGTGTTCCGAGTAATAGTTACTGCTCAATTCTGTCTCTTGTTGAAGTCCTTGTTAAATGTATTTAAGTGCCTGCCCTTGCTGTGTTCTCCAGTTGGTCATTTTGTGAGTTGTCGCTGTTGTTGCCCTGTGTTTGCTGCTGGTCTACTATAGCTGTTCCTGTGTTGTCCCTGCCTTAGTTTCATCATTTGCCTGGTTTGTTTTGTCTCTTTGTGGTCCTTTTGTTTTGTGTGTTTTTTTTAATTTAATAAAGCCCTATTTTTGTTGGGTGCACATCATGCGATGCTGGCATGCTTAGAGGCTGCAACAGTACTACAACTAGAGAAGTGCTTATCAATGCTTTTTTTCAATACTGAGTTATCTGAATGGCTCATTTTGAGAATTGATTCTAACTTTAAAATATCAGCATTTTACCTGCTATTTAAATATTTACAATAATATTACACAGAGCAGGGCATGAAATACTACCAGGATCTAAATGTCTGTTAGGATGGGAAGTATTACTCCTTCTGCCGTCTTGTTCTACTTGTTCTTTGACTGAGTCAGTCAGTCAGAGTGGTAGATGAAACAGATGTAGTTGGTTGAGTGCGGGTGACTGAACCAATAGAAAGAAAACATAACTTTGTGCATAGTTACTTTGTTCCACAAAATAATATTTGAAGTAAAATGTGTTTGTCAAAGTTCTATCTGAAAGTACAGTACTTTATACAACACCATTCTGGTATTTTGAAAAATATTTTGGTTATACCATGGTATTTTGAAATGAAAGTAATTGGTCAAGTGGAGGAGTAGTACCCCATGATAAATTTTGCTGAAGTTCTAGCATTGTACTAGTAAACCCAAAATACTGCAGTATACCATATTACTCTAACACTACCCATTCCTATCAAAAGTGCATTTTGAAATTAAACAATCTTAAATTAAATTCTTTAATTGTCATGTGTACAAGTACGAGTACCATGTACAATGAAATGCTTGCTTGCATGTGCTCCTGCAGACAGTGAACATAGACAAGACGGATAGACAACAGGATGACAAGTGAATGAATAATAAAGTGAATTATAAATAAGTAAATAAATAAGACCAAAATAGATAATCTAGGAATAAACCTAGATAGCTAAATACTTTGTGTGAAGTAATGTCTGTAAATTATAATCTGATTCATAGTTCTTGTAGGCTGTTTTTCCCTCAATACTTATTTAAGCTATTTTAAAAGAACTTTTAACGAACTAGCTTAGTACGCTGCAGTGATTTTTATATATTAGAGTATGAAGCTGCATGATTTAGTTACTTTAGCAGAATGAAGTGGTGTACCTAATAATGTTTGTTAGCCTGCCTATATAAGGGCTGTATGCTACAGTGATGGACTACAGGCAACTATATAAAATATACTGATGTATCAGTTTTCATTTTATATATATATATATATATATATATTTAAAAAAAAAAAAAAAAAAAAA